CCCCAAAACCCCAAAACCCCAAAACCCCAAAACCCCAAAACCCCAAAACCCCTATAAAAGGTAATTTGTAGAAAGGAGAATAACATTAAATATGTACGCAAATTCACTTACTAGGAACTTACTTAAAACTTCAAAGAGAAGCTATACCTCTGCCACACACATCCTGAACCCAGGAATTTCAAGAACGCAGAGTGTCTCAGTCTGCCCAGGTGAGGGCGTCGGCCCTCAGATCGTAGACTCAGTACTTGAGATCTTTGAGCACCTGAATGTACCATTAAATGTGAAGATGGTTGAATATGCCTCGCTAAAGAGAGGCAAGGCTAATTCTTCTCTCAGAGAGAACAAGAACCTTTTGCTCGGCCCTATTTCAAATAAAATGTTTGAAGAGAGAGATAAGGGGGTCTGTCACCAGCAGATATTGAAGGAACTTGACATTTTTGCCTCAGTTCTGAATGCAATCTCAATTCCTGGTGTAGACATTCAGGGTAAAGACATTGATACTCTGATTATCAAGCAAGCATGTGATGGCTTTGGAGTTGAATGTAAGAAAGCAAGGCAGGAGAAGTACAAGAAGCTTGCTCAGTATGCACTCAACAATGCTCTCATGAGTAGCAGAGGGAAAATTCATGCATTCCATAATGCGAACATGGATAATCCTCATCATGAAGATTTCCTTATTGAGATGAGAAAGATGGCCGAAAGAAATAGTGGCATCGGGTATGAAGAATTATATCTAGCTGATGGAGCTATAGAGCTCATCAAGCACATGGAAGACTTTGAACTCATTGTTACTCCAAGCAATTGTGGACTAGGAACTGCCAGCATTGCTATGAGCATTGTCGGAGGACACCAACTCGTTCCTTCTATTCATATTGGTGATGAGTATTCCATTTTTGAACAAGGTGGAAATAAGCCTGAAGAAGATAAGGTGAAAGACAACTCTGCTAACCCAACCGGATTGATTCTATCTGCAACCATGATGTTAAGGCAAGCCAACCTCCCATGCTACTCAGACTTGATTGAAAGAGCCATCTTTGCTACTTATGAAGACTCTGAAGTGAGAACGCCAGATTTAGGTGGAAATTATTCAACTCAAGAGTTCACAAATAAGGTGATGAGTAATATCGAGACCAAGTCTACCTTCAGGGCAGGTCAGGTCCAAGAAGAGAAGCTAGCTATTGAGTTCTAAACTTTGTGGCTAATGAAAACTATTTAATTCTCCTTATAAAAAGATTTTTCATATTCAAAATGTTTGACCATCTCCATTTTACTGCTAAACCTATCTATCAATAAGTGATTTAAAGAGGAAAATTAGGTTTAATGTTCTGTTGACTGAGGGCTCTTCATGTCTCTATCTGCTCTACCTTTGCCTGGCCATTGGTCTCTCTAGGCTGCATAATGTACGCAACTAGTCTGATAGGTTTTATGGGCATCTCCTAGCTTTTTGACCATTTTTGGCAACAAAAGGCTTTAAAAGCTAAATCAGTCCAGTTCCTACTAATGCCAATCCTGTAACCGTGCAAAGATAAAATTCGGTTTACAATTTAGGTAACTAGGATTGGGGTTTTGGGGTTTTGGGGTTTTGGGGTTTTGGGGTTTTGGGGTTTTGGGG